GTATATTTCCAGAGCGCTGAACAATATTACTTTTTCCACACTTATGACCATTGCAGCATCCCCATGGTCACCTGATGAAAATGTCTGTTAACAACTCTATTACTAACTAAACAACTGCAGTGATTCACTTAACAACCATGGCAAGAAAAATCATAAAATGGGGCAAAACTCACTTAACAAACGTCTCACTTATTTAGCAACAGAAATGTTGGGCTCACTTGTGGTCGTAAATCAAGGACTACCTTTGTTTTTGTTTTTTAATGTCTGCTTTTGATTAATAAATTGTTGGTGATGGTTCTATATAATTGATATAATTATTATATTAATAATTATGGACTGTTAATAATGAATATTAAAAAGATAAAGGTTCCCCTTGCGCACATGTGCTAGTTGTTCTCGACTCTAGGGGGCGGTGCTCATCTCCATTTCAAAGCCGAAGAGCCAGCGCTGTCCGAAGACGTCTCTGTGGTCATGTGGCCGGCATGACTAAACGCCAAAGGCGCACAGAACACTGTAACCTTCCCACCAAAGTTGGTCCCTATTCTTCTACTTGCATTTTTTACGTGCTTTCGAACTGCTAGGTTGGCAGAAGCTGGGACAAGTAACGGGAGCTTACCCCATTACGTGGCGCTAGGGATTTGAACCGCTGAACTGCTGACCTTTTAATCGACAAGCTCAGCATCTTATCCACTGAGCCACCGCGTCCCTATTAATAAGTATGGACTGTTAATAATGAATATTAATGAATAATAATTAATGTTATTGTTTCTAAAATTGATGTACATCACCCTGAGTACTTTTAATGGAACAGCAACCAATAATATATTTTAAACGAATAAAACACCACATTAATTATGCTTCCCTCAAAATTGAGCCATCTCTCTCTCTCCCACCTTCCCCCCCTCCCCTTCTCTGTGTGAACACAGATAGTTAAGTTTTGAGATGACTAATCTCCCACTTCCCTCTTTAAGCTTCCAGGGAGAGATACCATTATGCAGGGCACACTGTTAAATACATTTCAAGTCCAAACTGTGGGTTTTGGTTCACTTCCAAAAAAAATGTTAGCTGGTGGTGTGAAACATCTCTTTCAATTCTCCGCAGTGGATCTCCCTAGACAACGGCCAGATAAAGAAGCAATTTATCATCCCGCTAAAGGTTGTGCGTAATGTATTATCTGCCTTCCGTGGGGAGAGGCACATTTTGTGCCACCCCACTGCTGCAAGCTGACCTACAGTCCTCCATTTTGAGGTGCCGTAGCAACACAGAATGAATACAAGGAAAGAACTAGGACCAGTAGGAAACAGTAAGTCCTAGGTAAAACACTTTAAAAGATTTATTGGGGATAGCCTACTAATTAATTTGATCTTTTTAAAAATACCGTATTTTTCAGAGTATAAGACGCACCAGAGTATAAGACGCACCTTAGTTTTTGGGGAGGAAAATAAGAAAAAAGCTGATTGGCAGGTGGATCATGTTCCCAGAGGTGAATTTGAAAAACTTTTTTTCTTGCCTCTGAAAGCCTCCGAAACAGAGCTTCAGAAAAAAAGCCTCTGAAGCTCTGTTTGGGGCTTCTTTCCTGAAGCTTCGTTTCTGATGCTTTTTTCAGCCTCTGAAACCTCTGTTTGAGAAGCTGGGCCGGGCTACATTCGGAGTATTAGACGCACCCAGTTTTTCACCCTCTTTTTGGGGGGAAAAAGGTGTGTCTTATATTTTGAAAAATACGGTATGTATTGTGCACTACAGAGGAATGGTCTGCTTCAGGGGTGAAATCCAGCGGGTACTGACAGATTCTGGGGAACCGGTAGCGGAAATTTTGAGCAGTTCAGAGAACCGGCAAATGCCACCTCTGGCTGGTCTAAGAGTGGGGTGGGAATGGAGATTTTGCAATATCCTTCCCCTGGAGTGGGGAGGGAATGGGGATTTTGCAGTATCCTTCCCCTGGAGTCAGGTGGGAATAGAGATTTTGCAGTATCCTTCCTCTGCCACACCCACCAAGCCACGCCCACCAAGCCACACTACACCTACCAAGCCACGCCCACAGAACTGTCTGTGAAGGCAAAGAAAGCTGAAGTCAAGACCATAAGCACAATCACAATTTCACTTCATCACCAATTCACTTTGCAACTGAGTTTCTGCTCTCAGCTGTGGTCACCAAATGAGGATTCCCTGTAGTTGGGACTGGTTCACGAACGAGAACTTTTGTTATTGTCATTTTTTTTTTCAAACAAATCAGCAAAACATAACATGGGACAAGCATCACCCGCCTCGATCTACCAACCATTTCATTTTAAATCTTCAAAGAAATGTGAAAATGGGTGAATGAGGGGGAAAAAAGAAACCCAGCTGTAGCACCCCATACATCCAGCGATAACTGGAAGTATGAAATGCATTTCAACAGCTCCGCCAGTGCCATCGCATCGCTCAATTTAAAGGATATTTATAAAGACAGACTTATTTATTTTTGTAGGATGGTTTAGATTACTTTTGTCATATGCTCTTCAGCCCAAAAACGGATATTTTCCATTCGATAGATATTGGAGGCTGCAGATTAGTTTCACTAAAGCTGATGGGTAACAGTTGCTCAAGGGAGGAAAGTAATTGTCATTCAGTGCTTACCATCAATGCGCTAAAAATAATTTGTTTCAGAGTTCTCAAAAGAAACCGAATCCGCTTCGCTGTCCTGCTTCCTCCCAAAAACGCTGCTTCTCTTCCTGTAACCTCACCCAACATTTGCGTGAAAGGCTTACACGGAGTGGCCTTACCTGTACACTTCTCAAAATTACATCCCATGTACACAGTTACTACAGGTAGTCCTTGACTTAAGACCACAATTGAGCCCAACACTTCTGTTACTAAGTGCGATGGTTCTTAAATTTGGCCCCTTTTTACCCCCTTTCCTGCCACAGTTGTTAAGTGAATCCCTGCAATTGTTACGTTAGAAGCAGGGTTGTTAAGTGAATCTGGCTTCCCCACTGACTTGCTTGTCGGAAGGTCGCGAAAGGGGATCACATGACCCCGGGACCCTGCAACCGTCATAAATAGGAATCAGTTGCCAAGGGGTTGAATTTTGACCATGTACCCATAGCAGTGATGGGATTCAAACATTTTTACTACCAATTCTGTGGGTGTGGCTTGGTGGGCGTGGCATGCCATGGCATGGCTTGATGGGCGTGGCAGGGGAAGGATACTGTAAAATCTCCATTCCCTCCCCACTCCAGGGGAAGGTTACTGCAAAATCCCCATTTCCTCCCGATCAGCTGGGACTCGGGAGGCAGAAAATAGATGGGGGCGGGGCCAGTCAGAGGTGGTATTTACTGGTTCTCCGAACTACTCAAAATTTCCGCTACCAGTTCTCCAGAACTGGTCAGAACCTGTTGAAACCCAATTCTGACCGATTGGGATGCTCAACGATTGTAAGCGTGAAAAACGATCGTAAATCACTTTTTTCAATGCTGTTGTAACTTTGAACGGTCACTAAATGGACTGTTGAAAGTCGAAGACTTCCTATAATGAAATAATGGCTGCACTGATGATGTTACCTAATTTGGTAATGAAATATCTGCAAGAAAACCACCAAGCTCAGAGAACACCAAGCCCCCTTCGGTTCAATCCTGAACTACAAATATTCTACTCTATCAATGGCTGCACTATCAAACTACATTTTTTTGTGACTGATGATGTAACTATCACTGTAACTTTGGTGTTTCCTTTCTTTTGACTTGACTATTTGACTCAGGGCGGCTTACAATGCACTTATAGCAACAGCCTTCATTCTTTTGTATATACCTGCTTATTAGGGCTTTTGGCCCCCCCCTCCATAAGCAGCGTTTCTACAAAGTCAGCCTATTGCCCCCACAATCCAGGTCGGATTTACCTACCTCGGAAGGATGGAAGGCTGAGTCAACCTTGAGCCTGGTGAGATTTGAACTCGCACTAATTGCAGGCAGCTGGCAGCTAAGTGCTACATAACAGCAATCTGCTGCACCATCAAGGTTCTATATGTGTTGGTCTTCTGGGTACCACCAAAAAAAAAACCTTTGTAATTTTACCACCACCCCAAGTTAACTTTTGATGAACTTTTAATGTGCACAGTCACTCATGCCCTCGTCACCACTCGCCTTGACTACTGCAACGCTCTCTACATGGGGCTCCCCTTGAAGAGCACCCGGAGGCTCCAACTGGTCCAGAATGCAGCAGCGCGGGTAGTGATGGGAGCAGCATGGCGCTCCCATGTAACACCGCTCCTGCGCGAGCTGCACCGGCTCCCAGTGGTCTTCCGGAGATAAGGAGAATCCAAGACCTCAGCGCCTTCCGCGCCCTGCCCTTAAAACCCACTTTTTCCAGCAAGCCGGACTGGCTTAAGAAGAAATTTTAAATGTTTTAATTGGTTTGTATTTTTAATTTTGGGCCAAATTTATATATATTTTAATTGTTTTTAATATTTGTATTTCATGTTTTTTAATTCTGGCTGTACACCGCCCTGAGTCCTCAGGGGGAAGGGCGGTATATAAATTTAAAAATAAATAAATAAATAAATAAATAAATAAATAAATAAATAAATAAATAAAGAAAGAAAGAAAGAAAGAAAGAAAGAAAGAAAGAAAGAAAGAAAGAAACAAAGTCACATTTTAAACTACTCTTGCCCTATTTTAATTGTTTATATTCAGTTTTTACACCTTGAACATTTTATATGTTTTTAACATTTTATTTGTTCCGCTGCCCAGAGTCCCTCTGTGAGGGAGTTGGGCAATTGCTAAATGTGATAAATAAAATAAACAAGCAAACAGTGAGTCCAGCTCATTCATCATTCACCCTTGTCTGCCAATTCTCCACTCCATTTCTTGAATGTTCATGCGGGTCTTAAGGAAGAATTGTGCCACTGCTCAACCAAGAAAAGCTTTTTTTTTTTTTTGAATGGCCACAATTCTATACACCAACCAACTGTCAAATCTGATTTGAAACTGTCTTCAGAACTTTGAGAGATTTGAATGTCCCACCGCATGGCCAGAGTATTAGTTGGAAAGCTAACTCAAGACCCCATCAATGTAATACTGGACAAATTGTGAGATCCCAAATCTCTATTAGTAACCTTCCCCCCCTCCAAAAATGTCAAAAGAACAGAAACACTAGAGAAAAAATGACTGAGAGTTGCATGGAGGCGATTTTCAAGATGCTTATGGACTCCAGATCTGTAAGATTTTTACCCTTTCCCTATACAGGCCATGCCATCTCTACTGTAGAAACCTCACTGGGAAAATGCAACCAACTACTTGTATCTCCTCTATTGCACTCAGGTACAACTTTCAACTCCCAAATTCTTACATGCACATTAGTGCACTCATAAATTTCCTGAATTGGCCAGAATAGGGCCCACAACAGTGGTGAAATCTCAATTTTTTTTACTACCGGTTGTGTAGGCATGGCTTTGGTACGCATGGTGTGGCTTGGTGGGCGTGGCAGGGGAAGGATATTGCAAAATCTCCATTCCCACCCCACTCTGGGGCCAGCCCGAGGTGATATTTGCCGGTTCTCCAAACTACTCAAAATTTCTGCTACCGGTTCTCTGAACTACTCAAAATTTCCGCTACTGTATTTAATATTACACATAATCACTGCAGCCAGATTGGCGCTCGCCCAATATTGGAAAACTGATCAACTGCCAACAGATCAATTGATAATCCAAAAAATCTATAACTGTGCGGAAATGGACAAACTAACATTTGAAATGAAGGATAAGGTAGACTCAAAATGTTATATAGCGTGGAATAGGTGGTATGATTGGATAACTCGTAGAAATGAGAGTAAATGTAAAATTTTATATGATAATAACAATTAACAAATATGCACCGTTAATAAGATAATGAACGTGTGACCAAAGTCATTCTTTCTTTTTATGTATTGTGGTCTGTATTAATGTATATGTATCTTATATATACATGGTATAACATTTTATTTTTTATATGTCTAATAAAGTTTGGTTTTTTTTAAAAAAAAAAAAAATTCCGCTATTGGTTCTCCAGAACCTGTCAGAACCTGCTGGATTTCACCCATGGCCCACAACTAGTGTGATCCATAGCAGGGGTCTTCAACCTTGGCCACTTTAAGACTTGTGGACTTTAACTCCCAGAATTGCTCAGCCAGCATGTCTTAAAGTGGCCGAGGTTGGAGACCCTTGATCCATAGCAATACGACTGCATGATGTTGGGGGGGGGGGGTTGTCAGATTGGTAGCTCAAATACATCTGGAGGACACCAAAGAAAACTACATGGAATTAGACTTCTTTCATGGATGACAAACAAGTTACAATCTTAGCTTTTGAAAACCCACGGTGGTTTCAAGTAACAACCGCAAGCATGACCTCACTCTCATGAAACATGTCCAGTTTGGTTACTTCTCCCACTCCTATCTTCATCTTGAAATGAGCTTCCTTTGGATCCCATTAAGCAGGGTTAGCAAAGTGCACTGCCCATGGAGATATGTTTGGTCCTCACCCACCAACCCACCTTCACACAAGCTTTAAAAACCTGGATGTTCCTTGAGGTTAGTGTCAGGGCTTTCCAAGGCAATATTTGTCTGGATGGGGTATGATCAGGAGTGAAAATTATTGGGTTTTTTTATGAGGCATTTTTTTTTTTTACTTATTTCATTTTGAAGCTATCCAAATTTGTTTTGGAGTTTGATGCCTAGAAATAAGGGAGGGAGGGAGGGAGGGAGGGAGGGAGGGAGGAAGGAAGGAAGGAAGGAAGGAAGGAAGGAAGGAAGGAAGGAAGGAAGGAAGGAAACAGTAGGAAGGGAGGGAGGGAGGAAGGCTAACATGTTTATGAACAACAATTCACAATGAACACAGTTGTCAGATCTTATCAGTGACAATCAGGATTAGAAAAGAAAAGCTAAGGAAAGGTTGTCTCTGAGCTCGGATTAAGAAGATTTATTAGGAAGCCAAGGTGAATTCTAGAAAGCACATTTGCCTTCAAGTGTGGAACCAATATAGAGATAGTCCTCGATTTACAACCATTCATTTAGTGTCCAAAGTTACAATGGCACTAAAAAAAAGTGGCATGACCATTTTTTATACTTACAACCATTTCAGCATCCTCATGGTCACGTGATCAAAATTCAGATGCCTGGCAACTGACTCATATTGCATAAACATATTGCATAAACAGAGGGATAGAATCAACATCACGTGAAGTGTTAATACCACTTTATAATGCCTTGGGAAGGCCACACTTGGAATACTGCATTCAGTTTTGGTCGCCACGATGTAAAAAAGATGTGGAGACTCTAGAAAGAGTGCAGAGAAGAGCAACAAAGATGATAAGGGGACTGGAGGCTAAAACATGTGAAGTACAGTTGCAGAAACTGGGTATGTCTAGCTTAATGAAAAGAAGGACTAGGGGAGACATGATAGCAGTCTTCCAATATCTCAGAGGCTGCCACAAAGAAGAGGGAGTTAAGCTATTCTCTAAAGCACCTGAGGGCAGGACGAGAAGCAATGGATGGAAACTAATCAAGGAGAGAAGCAACTTAGAGCTAAGGAGAAATTTCCTGACAGTTAGAACAATTAATCAGTGGAACAACTTGCCTCCAGAAGTTGTGAGTGTTCCAACACTGGAAGTTTTTAAGAAGATGTTGGATAACAATTTGTCTGAAGTGGTGTAGGGTTTCCTGCCTAGGCAGGGGGTTGGACTAGAAGACCCCAAAGGCCCCTTCCAACTCAACTCTTCTCTACTCTACTCTACTCTACTCTACTCTACTCTACTCTACTCTACTCTACTCTTTACACTGGCTACAAAATGCTTCCTTGGTGTCTTTTGGTTTCTATAAGATTCCGTATCAAGAAACACTTTTCAAACTTCTTCACCTTCTTGGTGATCCATTCCAAATGGGGAGTTAATGATGAGGTTCTGAGAGAGCTCATTTAAGGATCCTCTCTCCTTATACAGTGCCCAACTATGCCTAGAATTATTCAGCAGTTACGGACAACTTGTTAAGACTCCAGCTTTCTTTTACATAAAGGTCTGGGGGGGGGGGGAAGAGACATTTTATAAAGGAGAATAGTTAGATTGATCAAAAGAGCTCTCAAGGTCAACAAGTTATATGGGGATAGTCAACTCTCATTTACTGTAGTTGAGTTAGTTACGATGGTCAACACTAAGATCCTTGAAACTGACCTATGATTTTCTGCCTAGCTGGCAACAAACCTATGTTGAACTAACTGCTCTCTCCTTTTTTGGAAGACATTAATCATGTACACACCCCATCAGTTTCAATGCATAAAAAGATAAGATGTCCGTAAGCTTATTTCCAATGCAAAGATCTTCAGTTCTTATTACCTAAAAAAAAAAAAAAAAATCTCCTGCGATTTCTGTCTTAAAACTCTGGCCAAGTGTAGGTTCTTAAACAAAATGTTCTCCCTATCTTGAGATAATCACCCAACTTTCATTCGAGCCTACAAGTGCATTTGAAAAAGTACTGTTATCACTGGAAAAAGCACTCTTTTGGCACTACTCCAAACAAATGACAAGGCGAAATACAACTGACAATTGACAACTGCAGCTTTCCCGTCTTTTGTGCTTAGCGCGATCCAAACTCTTTCATGTTCCCTCCTGCAAAGACAAGTATATCACTCTGATATAATATCCAGAACGCCAAGGTCAGGTATTTTGAAGCTTTCACAGTAAATTCATGGCAGTGCTCAGCACTCATTTGTTTTGTGCTACCTCTAGGATTACAAACAAAGACACACACACACATAAAAGTAAGAAGTTTCTAACTCTACCAGCTTCACTTCATCAAGTCAGGAAAGTTGAAGAGGTTTCTTAAAACTTAAGCATCTGCAGAAATATCTAACGCATACTAATTTAAATATATATTGTGAATAGTAGTAGTAGTAGTAGTAGTAGTAGTAGTAGTAGTAGTATCCATCTTTCAAATACAGACAGATCGTCATTTGGAACACAACACGCCAGATATCACAGTTGTTGAGGGCCGAAGTGTACAGTTTATTGACATCGCTGAACCAGGAGACGCCAGAGTTGAAGAAAAAGAACTGGAAAAAATTTATTTATTTATTTATTTATTTATTTATTTATTTATTTATTTAATTATTTAATTAATTAATTAATTAATTAATATGCCGCCCTTCTCCGGAGACTCAGGGCGGCTTACAATGCGTTAAGCAATAGCCTTCATTCTTTTGTATATTTTATACAAAGTCAGCTTATTGCCCCCACAAACTGGGTCCTCATTTCACCTACCTTAGAAAGGATGGAAGGCTGAGTCAACCTTGAGCCTTGGAGAGATTCGAACCAGCAGAAATTGCAGGCAGCTGTGTTAATAACAGGGTGCACTAAACCCCTGTACTATCAAGGCTCTAAATCACGAAATATTGTGACTTGGCCATCGAAACTACATGGCTATGGATGAAACATGTAACAGTGATACCCATTGTCATCGGGGCACTTGGTACCATGTCCAAGAATTTTACAAAACACATCAAGAAATTGCAGCTTCCTGCAATAACACCAGCGGAACTGCAAAAAAACTACACTACTCAGAACATCATATATTTTAAGAAGGTACTTGGTTGATACCTAGGACACTGGCAGCAACCCGTATCAACCATTGGCACCAGTCAGTTGTGTTTGTGACACATTTTTAAATGATCAGTTGACTGAGTTTCATGTTTAATGAATAAAGGACATAATAATAATGAAGATGATGATGATGATATAAACTGTTATGTTTTTACCGGTTCCAGACTGTGAATTGAATTGAATTGAATTGAAGATTAACAATCATCATCATCATCATCATCATCATCATCATCATACCCCTAAGAGATTAACCTGAATCTTCTATCAATAGTTCAAAGAAGATTTAAAAGGCATTACACTATAATTTTACCCTCATTTGTAGGTCTGCAGTGATCCAAACTTGTGCAAGTGTACAACACTACGGAGAGTCCTCAACCTACAACCATTTGAAGTTATGATGGCACTGAAAAAAGTGACTTACAACTAATCCTTGCACTTATAACATTTGCACCATCTCTCTGGTCATGTACTCAGAATTCAGGTGCTTGGCAACTAGCATGTATTTGTGACAGCTGCAGTGCCCCATAACTGTGAAAAATGGTCCCAAGTCATTTTTTCCAGTGCTGTTCTAACTTCAAATGGTCACTAACTG